AATTTTGTGAGGTGATCCTTGATATGGGGAACTTTCATTAAAAAGGAACTCTGTATTATTGCATTTCTTCTCTCTCTCTATCGAAAAAAAATCATTAGTGTTCCATCTCAAAATGGTCCTTCCTTGTGGTTGTGGGTAGAAAAAAGGAGATGATTTTCTAGTCTTCAAACAACCAATATATCTCTCTTTTTTTCTTCCTAATTTTAATTTCATTTCCCTTTTTTTTCATACTCGAATTAGAAACTAGACCATGTATGTAATTTATGGTAGTTTCTCAATTTCAAAACTTGGATTCATTAATGATTTAATATAATCTACTTATCTCCCTAATCGGCACCATTTTGAATATGACTAAAATTCAATTGACGACCATTTGTGCTCATGTGTAACTTCTATTATTTTACAACTCATCTTAATGTCACATATTTGTCTTCCTTTTAATGGGGAAGTTACTGAAATGATTGTTTTGAAACAATTTTAAGATTATAAGTTCAAATGAAACTTTTGAGATAATGATGATTTTTTTTTTCTTTTGGAAGGAAGAAGGAATAATGAGGTATAAGTATAATTGATACTTATTCAAAAGTTTAAGAGCATAATTGAAACTACTTGTGCCCATGTATATGACACTTTTTACAACTTTATTGCATGTCATATTTTCATTTTCTTTCTAACGAAAAAAATTAATAAACAACTTTAAAGGTTGAGGATATAATTGAAACCAACCTCATAATTAAGAGGAATTTTGTATAATTTAACCAAATCGAGAAAAGTTTTTTTTTAATGAAATTTAAAAAATAAAACAAAAAAAATTTGTAGGAAAAAAAACTTTAACTTTTAAATAAAAAATAAAAAGCAAAAACATACATAACCTTAAAAATCAACTTGGACATTCATTTGATTTTCTTGAGTGGTTAATTAACTCCAAACCGTTCAAAATTATATTAAGCATGGTTGAGTTAATCAAAGATTTAGTATACCTAATTTCAAAGTCCATAAATTCAAATTTCCATCTAATATTATATAAAGAAATGGTTACAATTTAAATGTCAGAACATTTAATTTAATTTTTTTATATATTTATATTTGTTTACAGTTCATTCATTAAATCTGGAAAATCAATAGCTTAAACCATACTTCTATTTTTATATAACATTTTGGTCCAACCATTCTTCTAAAAATAGTTTAAGAATATAATGACTAATAAACGAAATTTGATTAAAAAATATCATCAAAGAACAATAATCTATGAATAGGATTAGGCCAAATGATTGAAGCAAATGAGCTCGAAAACCAAATTAATGAATCTTGATTAAATAATCCCAACTCTGTTTCTCTGGATACATAATAGATACCATATCTGCATAATGAGGGAGTGGACAAAAAATTAAGAGATGTTCGGTAAAATTGCGTTTCTTGTTTTTATTTCTTCATTTTTAATAAATAAAAATGAATTGTAATTACGATATTATGGTCCATTTGGTTGGGAGGAACAACTGACCAATTTGCTGATGCCTAAGTCATCTTCTCTCCTCTGGGAAGACATAAAGGTCTTAGCTTCATCTTGGTCCTCCAAATCCAACCTCTTTTGTAATTACAATATCTCTACCATTTCTCTCAATTGGAGTGCATTTATCTAACCTCCTTGTATCTTTGTATGTTTCTCACATACTTTTGTAAATGAAATAGTTCGGTATCTTAAAAAGAAAAAAAGGAATTGTATGGCTCCAACGTCCATGAAGTCAAGTATGATCTAACAATTTTTTTATTTATGTTTTGGAACAAATTAGAAATGGAAACAAGAAATAAGAAACTTGTTTTAGTTGTTTCCAAAATTTCTTATACAATTTTGAGGATGTACTCCAAAGAGAAACCAGAAACATAATTGCAAAATACTTAGATTTCTTAATATAATTGAAAACGAGAAACAAAAAATAGGAACATTGCCAAACGAGCCTAAGAAGTATTAAACTTCTAAACTACATTTATATGCTTCAACTATTGAAGTTAAAAAAATATATATATATATCCCAAGTTTCCCAGGAGCATTGTGATTTGTTCAGCCATTGTCCACAGGACTAATAAGAACCTTTCGTGTGAGATTGGCCAATTGGATGCTGAGGCAAATCCATCATCCATGTTTCTCCATCTATTTTTATGGATGCTTCTTCTTCTTCTTCTTTTTTTTTAATGGGTTGAACAATCTTGGCAATCTCTAATGATATTGGAACCACCATCACTCGAGTGACTTGTCATTACTGTGTTGTCATCCAATTGAGTTGAGTATTCGAAAAAAGTTAAGTTGAACTTCTTTACCAGGTCGAATCATCGTTATCGGACCATACGAAATGAAAACGCACCAAGTTTTAAATGTCGAGTGACAATATGAGAGAAAAGAAAGAAAACAAGAAGGGGTTGGCATTTAGTAATGGAGGATGGGAGCTTACAAAAATAAAAAATGTATGGCCCCTCAGCATACAAGAAAATGGAAACTTTTTTTGATGTATGGTATGGGGCTGAGGATGCTTCTATTATTGCCATTGCAAAGAAATGGATATGGAGGAGTTGGGTTAGTTTGTCATATCACATGTCACTCTTTTTTTTTACCTTTATTAAAGCACACTGATCAATAACTTCAACAATATTATCACTCTGTTTAAACATTTCAAAAACACTTCAAAAGGTATTTGAACATATACATATGATCAAGAACACTATATTTGGGTTTCAATGATTATTGTGATTCATGAATGTAAATGAGGTCTAGAGAGAGTATTAGTTTGGAAGATCATTGTGAGATGATAAAGAATGCTCTCTATATAATAAAAGCTATATGTCATTATCCTTGATTTTTGTTATTGTCTGTGTTTTTATTCTCTAATCTTTGTAAAGAATTTTAGCATCAATCCCAATAATGCAACTTATTCCAACATCCCTGTCAACCCCATTAATAAGTCCTTTTCCTCTCTCTCTGTAGAAAGAGCTAGAGAATTAAGAAGAATGCCCAAACCTTAACAGTCACCACTCACAAGAATGATTAAGGGAAAAGGAAAGATTTTTTAATATAATGGATTCTTACATCTTTAACCTTCTCTATTGCTGCATCGTTTACTCTTATAAAATAAAAAAGAATTTGTTTCTGGAAAAGCCCCATTATCAAATATACAATAACAAAAGTTTACAGCTAAAAAGTTTGAACTGGATTAAGTTATAAGTAGAATGATTTGTTAAATAATCCTCTCTATAACTGATAAAGGGTCATTTTCTTTACTTTTATAAATACACTCACCTTTTAGCTACCTTCCTTCCATTTCCCTCTTCTCCTCCCTCCCCTAATCTTTCAGACTTGAAGCTGTGTGTAGAGAGGTTTCATTAAAGACAGCAAACCGCCTTTTTCTTGGCTGTCCTAAAAGTTCCTCCTCCAACCAGCTCTTTTCCTCAACAGGTTAGTGAATCAAAGTATAGTAGGACCAAAAATCTCAATCCATGAGCACTATTTTCAGTGTCTCAAATCTGTATGTCTCGTAAAAGAAAGCTTAGATTCAGCTCTTGATTATGCTGCTCCTTCACCTGAAAATCCATAAAAAGGAGACTGGGAGAGCAGATTTTTGGTCCCATCTTTCTCTACATATCTTCTCTTTTGTTCCACCTCTTTTGGGGATCAACAGTAGAGGGGAAAATGAAAAATGAAAAATGAAGATTTGGGTTTTGATTGATAGCTGATCTCTGTTTGGATTTGATTTAGGTTAGTAGCAAATAAAGGGTTCCAGAATCAAGAAGAAAGGATGTCAGATTCACCTCAGAGGAAGATGGGGAGGGGGAAGATTGAGATTAAGAGGATCGAAAATACAACCAATCGTCAAGTCACTTTCTGTAAGAGACGCAATGGGCTGCTCAAAAAGGCTTATGAACTTTCTGTTCTATGTGATGCTGAGGTTGCTCTCATCGTTTTCTCCAGCCGTGGCCGCCTTTATGAGTATGCTAACAATAGGTAAACCACACAACACTATTAAGGCTATTTGTTTCATTTCCAATGTCTACTTTTATACTGTTTTGTTCTAATGGTTCTTTCTGTGATTGATTTTTTGTGTCCCCAAATTTGTGTTGCTGATTTGGGTGTGGGAACTTTTCAGCTCTAGGTTTTTTGTGGAGGGCCAAGATTTTGGGAATCTGGGTTGTGTTAAGAACCTAATGATTCTGGAAGATTGTGTTCTTTCTATGCAATTAAAATTTCCTCTATTTTCCCTTCCTCCCTCAGCTGCTTTTAACTTGTATGAGCTTTGGGGGTTTTTTCTTTCTGATTTTGTTTTTGTTTTTTCTATAATTGATGAGTTTTCTGGTTCTTGGTATGGTGGATACATAGATCTGGTGTAACAGATGGAAAGATAGGGCATATTAAGGAATGGTTATTTGGAAGGTGGAAAGAAGTAAGGGTTTTGGTAAAATTATGCAGGTGTTCTGAGATCAGCTTCTTTACCTCTTCCTCCATTGTTTAAAGTTTCTATTTCTTTCCTTTTACTTCCATTGCTCTCTCTCTCTCTATATGTCATTTCTGAAATGAAGGAAGTCCCAACCACAAAGCGCTCTCTCTCTCTCTCTTTCTTTCATTAGTCCAATCCCGTTCATCTCCTTGACATTTCCTTAATAGAAACGTCAGTTGGACATTAAGAAAGAAAAAAGTACAGTTTCAAAACTTGTCAAAAGAAAAGACCATATACAATAAGCTTACTAGGGTTTCAAACAAAAGAAGGGAAAAAGAAACAAAAGAACTTGTGGGTTTCCTTGAAACATGATAAAACACCCTTTTCCAACCAATCACCCAAAGTCAAGATGGAATGGAACTAACTACCCCATTGGGGTTTCCTTCAAAACTAGAATGTAAAAATTCCATACCTCTTCTTCATTTTTCAAAATATTAATTAATCCATCAAGGTTAATAGTCTGGAATATTATATTAAGAGGTAACTTTCTGATTAAACTCTAAAAAGAAAACAAAACCCTGATTAAAACTCTGTTGGAAAGGTGGGGGAAAGGGGGAAAAATAAAAAATAAAATGGAAGAAGAGAAAGGGCGTAGCTTTTCCACCAAAATCAAACCCAGCCAATAGCAAGTCAGAAACTTTACACAAGTTTTATCTTTGTCTCCATTGTTTGGGAAATGGGATTGGTCTGGTTTAGGGTTTGGTTGTGCCTTTTCGTCTAGGGCTTCAAGAATCTTTGGTCACGTCACACAAGATTTTTCCAGTTTTCAGCCTCTCTGACAAAAGGGTTCTGTCGTGATTTCTAAAATGGGTTCCATTTTATTTTCTTACTTCAGATTCAATTCGATTTCAAGTCTCCCCAGCAATTTTCTTTTAAAACCATAGATCTCTCTCTCTCTCTGATACCCATGTACCAAAATCTCTTTCTTTCCTCTCTTTTAACAAGAGAAGAGACTTGAAGAACAAAGTAAGAAGAAATCAACAGGGGATACGAATAAAAGTGTTTTTTTTAGAGAGAGAGAGAAGATAGGGTACGGAAACTGGTAGAGCAAATGGGAGAGCTAGAGCATTTATCTTAATAGGACAGCTCCTGCTATCACTGATAGAAATGGACGGCTGAGAAGTACACAGAGTTTGAGACAGAAGGCTTTCACCGCCATTCTTGTTTTTTAAGAACAAAAAATTGGTTTTGTGTTGAATCGAGGTGGATAAGAGGGTGTAACTAAGCAGATTATCCAATGTACAAATGTGTGTATGACACTTGGCAAATCCTTAACCCTCGATTGGATTAAGCCAATCATAATGCGTGATCTCTGCCAGCATGGTTCAGACAGCCAATCACCGGCTCGACGAAATTAAGGTATCATATCAGTGCATCGGTAAAGAAAACATGGATATTTAAAATCTGGGAACTATTTTTCCTTTACTTTAGATTCCATCACATCCATTGAGAAACCACTGACCCTTTGAAGTGATTTCTATCATTCACTTTGCTTTTTGTGGGGTTTCGTATAGGATTCAGTTAACTGAGATAGTTGGGTTAATGTGACAGTTAAAAGAGATGTCCCATTTTGAGAATCAAAAACATGTTTCAATGCCGTCCTTTTATATATATATATATATATATATATATATATATAGTTCAATCAAGACGCATGATTAATTAGTCTTATGTAATCACTGTGATTTGGTGTTAACTTGGATTATAATATGATTAATGGCAGTGTGAAGGCAACAATTGATAGATACAAGAAGGCCTCCTCAGATTCCTCCAACACTGGATCTACTTCTGAAGCTAACACTCAGGTATAATTCAATTTCTAGTTAATGTAGAGAGAGGAATGGTTAATATGAGTGTAACTTAATAGTTTGGGAAAAAGGGATAAATTTTACAAGGCAAAGACATAATATGTCAAACAATTGAGTCCAAAGGAAATGGTTATTCAAGAAGAAGAATTGACTGATTATATACTGATAATGGGTGGTCAACTAAAATATGCAGGAACGATTAGTGAAATTCTTGAGCTTCATTTATAACGAATGGAAACTTGAAACTTTTTATGAATTTGAAATTCAGTGCACGTTTATATTAAGGTCTTGTTTGATTTCTCACTATTTACTTGGTATATGTTTTTTCACCTTCCTTAAAAACTGGTTTTCTTTAGTTTTCAAATTTTGGTAAGTTTTGGAAATGTTATCAAAAAGTAGATAACCAATTAAAGAAAAACATGGGTGGAAAGAGGGTTTCTAAGCTAAATTTTTAAAAACAGAAAACCAAAACAAAATTGTAATTATCTATTCATGTAGGGGTTCCATTTCTGTATTCAATTTTTTGTGTGAGCTTTAATTTGGCTAATTGGGACCCTAGCCCACACATTTTCTTTGTGCAGGTTTATTACATTTCTCTAAGATTGTTTCTTATTCACATACACAAGAGCGACTTGTTCTAAATACTTCCAGAGGTCTAAGAGATTGTCTTCAACTAAACTGATGGAAATTTGGAAATTAAGCAACATTGGTTTTATGAAAATTCCTAGCACAAGAAATCTAGAGGTTGTTTGTTATAGGTTTTTAAAAGGTAAAAGGTACTTTTAAATTAAACTAACCGAAAAAAGCTTTTGGAATCTTACTAGAGTTTTTTATGATTCTAGTAAAAATTTAAAGTATTTTTAGGGCACTAAATACATCTTTAAAAGATGTTTTACCTAAAAACGCTATCCTAAAAAATCATCCAAAACATACTATAAGTCGGATAGGAATGATTGAGACAATTACATATAAATTTCTTATTAGTTTTAAATGTTTGAAATGACTTCTTAGATATTGTTTTCAAGTTGAACACTTTTTTTATAAGTTCCCTAAATACTTTTGAATAAAAAAAACTGCTTGAGTTCTTTTTAAAAGTATTTGGACTAATCTAGCTAATTATCATGAGAAATATATTAAGAGTAATTTTAAATAGCGGTTAAGTCCTATGTTTTCGACCAAAATATCATAAGTTCGAATCTAACTTTAAATAGAAAAATAAAACTACAAAAATACTAATCTTAGGGCATGCACATTTTATCTTACCCTTTTGATCACTGACATCAATTAGACACCAAGCAATTATCAGTGCAGTAGATGCATATTTTGCATATATGCTTTCCATGAAGCTGATAATGAATTCTGATTAGCTAAAATTCCTTTCTTTATCCCACCAAATAACCACAAATTTTAATAACCTAACCCTAACTACTTATTCCCTAATGAACCATATGGTTTAGACCATAAAATACTAGCCACAAGAATCCTTTAAGCTTTTGGCTTTTTCCTTAATAGGTATCTTTTTTATTGAGATTCCAGTCCCAAAAAACGTACAAAAACCAACTTTGTATCCCTCAAACTGGGTCCAGCTTTTTTATTTTGGTAACCAACTTATTATGATTGAATTATGATATGTTGCTTACTATTGAATTACATGCCAGTTTTATCAGCAAGAAGCTGCCAAACTTCGAGTCCAGATTGGTAATTTGCAGAACTCAAACAGGTATCTTAAAGGAATCTAATATAATCCAATTCCATTCCATGATCATTTCCAACTTCAAAAACATCATCTTCTAACGAATGTTGATTCCAGGAACATGCTGGGTGAGTCCCTAAGTTCTTTGAGTGTAAAAGATCTGAAAAGCCTGGAGAGTAAATTAGAGAAAGGAATTAGCAGAATTAGGTCCAAAAAGGTTGGTTTTCATCCTCGTTTTTCATATGTATCTTTTGTTAGTTTAAGTATAACACGCAACTTAATAAGTTAACAATGTCTTTTTGCCCTTTCTCTCTCTCTTCCAGAATGAGCTCCTCTTTGCTGAAATTGAGTATATGCGGAAAAGGGTAAGCTTGCAAATCCTAATTTGATACTCATCCTTTTGGGAAGTGCTTCTTTTGCATGTTTTCTAATATGAACGCATTATATATGTTTTCTGTTGTGGTCTTTTCTTTTGAAACATATATAACCTTTTACTGCATTTGGGTATTTGAATTTGGAGAGAAAAAACTAATACATCTAATTTCTTTTTAAAGAGTAAACTACTAGGCCATTTTTCGTTTATTTAATTTTTTAAGAGGAAGTAGAAATTTCTTAGATATATATGTGTGTGTGTGTGTGTGTGAATAGAAGGAAAGTGAAGCATTGGTATTGAAAATTGAAATTCTGTGCATCGAATGATGAAGGGTCTGAGTTGGAAAGTCATTTGAAGAATTCAAACTACAACCAGTATTTGAGGCAACTTAAATTTCAAGAGCACGAAGAACATCTATTTCAGTCTACAGTTTAACCTAATCTTTTAGCAAAACTGATGATCAATTTGAAGCAAAACAAAAGGGAAACTGCGAGTGCAAATTCTTGTGTGGCTGATAAGAACATGCACCAACGTGAATGAGTATGGAGAGAAAGAGCACCAAGAACAAATAAGCGTCAAAACAATAAATGGAGGACTTTATGAATCAGAATCTAACCCTTTTTTTTTCCTCTCCCCAGATTGGAGCTCTTTCTTGTTTATTAGGTCAAGGATCGATTTGGTTCATTTTTTAGGTGTTTGTAATTTTCTCGTAGGCCCTTCATATGTTCAGGGCATATTTTTGCTGACCCTTTTGCATTCCTTCATTTTTTTTTTCTCGAATGAACTTCTTCTCAACTACAACGTCTGGTCACAGCTAATTTAGAGTAATTTTGTGATAAAAATGGGACAACTTTCCCAATATGTTGTATGAAAGTTCAATTTTCCAATCCGGGTTCCATTGATTTTCCTATAACTTGAAGAAAAGATTAGTCCTTTGAAGTCTTGGTTGCAAAAGTACTAAAAAGGATAATATTTATAGAATGACATGAAAAAATGTGGTCTTTACAGGAAATTGATTTGCACAACAACAATCAGCTGCTTCGAGCCAAGGTCCCTCTATCTCTCTCTTTCTCTTCCTCTTCCTCTCTGTGTTTCTTAATGAGAAATATTGAGTTTATAGAAATATGGATGCAGATAGCCGAGAGTGAAAGAAATGCCAGCATGATAGGGGGAGATTTCGAGCTGATGCAATCTCATCCGTACGATCCAAGGGACTTCTTCCAAGTGAACGGCTTACAACATAATAATAATCATCAGTATCCACGCCAAGACAACATGGCTCTTCAATTAGTTTAAGGTTTCTGATCTATCTTACAGTTTACATAATGAAGCCATACTCTAAATTCTATCTCTCTTTCTAACCAAAACACTGACCAAACATTTGGTTGCAGTTAATAATAATATGGTTTGAAGCTGTGTGTGGTTGTTGGTGGATTATAAGGAGTGCCTCATCTGCTGATTGAAAGGTGCTTATGGAAGTTGGAGACCATCTCAATTCTCATCTATGCCTAAACAAAGTCTTAGCTTCTGGACTCAAAAAGACTTCTTAATATATAAATTTATATATATATATATATATAATGTTGTTGTCTTGCATGCATTATCCAAACACCATTAATAACCTTTCTGTGTGTTATATTTATGTCTTTGTCTGTGACACAAACAACTAACATACTCTTTCACACTTTGTCTTGTTGCTTTTACTGTCTCAACTTTCTCTGGTTTTTTTCTTCACATCTTCTGCTTCTACTATTACATAATTGCTGCTTAAAGAGAAGATGGGCAGGAATTAAAGATAGAAACTTTTCAATCAGTTGGTTTCAGGGGTAGAGCTGGGAATTTTGTGAGAAAGGGGCAAAATTTTATATTCTTAGCTTTGGAGGGAAAAATAGAAAAAACTACTCAATATTTATTATTTTATATTTACTTTTTGAATTTACGATAAACTAAGTGGGAAGCAATTGTGTCCCTTAACTCCATGTATCATAATGGCTTGATAAAAGAGAATGATTCGATCGAGAGCTTTTGATTGTACTTTTAGCTTGAAAATATAAAAATAATAAAAATAATAAAAAATGGTAGAAGTAGAACATCAAGAGGGATATTTCATAATGGCTTACTAAAGAGAAATGAGAGAGTGACTAAAAGATAAACTTTTTAGTTTGTTAGATTAGTCATGTTGAGTTACAAAGAAGAGAAAAGAGAATGATTTAAATCTTGGTCTGAGTGTATTGTGATGAAAATGATATAAATAAGAGTTTCGATAGCAGTGTTTTATATTTTGACAAGCATAAAAAGAGAGAAACATACCAGAGTATGTTAGAAAACCACGTTGAAAATAAAAGGGGACCTAACAATGGTTTATAATAGACATCGGCTACTCCTCTCATTGTCAATTGGTTTTGACATGAAACTTAATCATGAATATTAATATCTTATCAAAACCCAAAACGTTCAAACAAGCATCTGGTCCTAAAAATAGGATCAATAATGATTTAGGAACCTATGAATATTAAAGGTACCTATCTCTGACCAAAAGGTCATGAGTTTAGCCTCACTCCTACATATTATACTATATATATATATATGTCCGTCATATAAGGAAGCTCATCTTTATTGGCCGTTGTATTAGAATAATCAAATACTTGTAATAATGAATTAAAAACAGGAGATATAAATAGTGTGAATCTCATGCTTTCCTTTTCTTATAAATTGTTGGGTAATGTTTTTCTTTTTTATTTTTCATTAAATATAATTATGTTTGATTTTTTTTTTTAAGAAATGCTTTGAGTAATAAAGTTTAAATTTTGAATTAGTAAAGTTTAAAATTTAATGATTTTTTTAGTACAAGGTGGTGGGGAATCCAACCATGGTTTAATTATTTTTAACTTTATTATACATTTTAATTTCTTATTATCAATCTAATAGCTACTTTGGTCAGTTTGAACATTTATTTTTCAGCGGGGTTAACTTGTTTTAATTAGTTTCCTCAAATTTTTACGGATGCGACGAGGTTCAAAATTTTAAGCAAGTATTTATTTATTTTTTTTATCGATTTGTGTTATATTCATAAATTTATTTGTTGGTTTGATATCAATTTTAATTATTAAAAAAAGAGCTGAAGATATTTTTTTTTTGTCATGTAAGAGCATTTTTATTATTTTTTATTTTTGGTAACTAGATGATGTTATTTGTGTGGATATTGGTTATTTTGATTATGTTGGATGCTTTCTAGTTGTTTTAGATATTTTTCTTTTTTGTGATTTATTAGTTCGTTGATTCACAATAAAAAATATTGATTTTAATATTTATTGAAGTTTAAGGTTAAATTTAATCAACAACAAGTTTGACGATGGTAAAATTGGACTTAAAAAATACAATGGAAAAATGAAAATTTTCTCCCAAAAAGGAAAAAAAGGAAGAGCAATTCCATATTTATCAGAAAGAAAAGTGCAATTCCACATATGCCCTTGCTTTTACACTAATAATAAATGCTCATTTATTGACGGTGTTGAAACTGGAAACTCAAACCTAACTCAAATTCAAAGCATTTTCTCTTCGAACTTACCCCTTTTTCTTTTTTTTTTCTTCTTCTTCTTCTTCTATTGCAAATGTAATTCTTATTTACTCCTCTCCTAGAGATTTGAACCCGAGAATATTTGTTTTAAACAGTTGAATTGTATTTAAGTTTAGCTTGTGATTTTTAAATCTTTCATTGATTACTAATAAATTAAGATTGATTTACTAAGATAATAATAAATCAAGATTGATTATTTGTTATTATAAAAAAAAGATCGATTATTTGTTTTACTTTTTTTCTTGAGGTATTATTTGTTAACTGATGCTTAAGTAATCATTGATTCTCATTAAAAAGATGATACTATTAGAAAATTAGAGAAATTTCACTTTATATAATAAATGTAATATGTGTTTTTTTTTCCCAAATAAAGCATAAGTGTAAGCGTAGTTAATATTATATTTGATTTTTTGCAAAGGTATTTGTTAAGAATCTTTACTATTTGTCAATAACAATATTTAAAATTTGTTTTCTTTAATTAATACAAGATTGTTGTCCCAAACTATGTAATGTATAGCGGATATATGCTGTCAGTGAAGATTAAATTATTTTTTTATTGACATTTTAAGCAAATCATTCTCTAATATTTAGTTAAATTACATTTATATTTCATAAACATACATTAATATTCATAAATTTATTAAAATCGATTTATGTAAATAAAGAGCTCATATAAATTAATTGATGATAGTTATACATTGACTTGTAAAAAGTGTAAATAAATGAAAAAAAATAGAATACGAACGCGAGTATGGCTTATCAATTAAGACATCTTGCCTCTTTTTTCTAAGGGTGCAAGTTCAATTTCATCCTAACACCTTTTTGTACTAAAAAAAATAAAGTTACCTCATATATTAAAATATCGAGGCAATCTGTTTGTCTCAAAAATGTTAAATGAAGCATTTCTCCACATAAGATCAAGTTAAATGATCATAACATATCTCATATTCTCATATTCTCACTGATTAATTGTTTCATTATAGATTTAGTTTACATTTCAAAACCTTAAATACACAACATACACAACAACATAAGTGGTAAATTAAGCAGCACACCATGTTCTTTGGAACAATGGTGAAAAACAGAAGAAATTAAAGATAAAGAAAAACTCTTTCAACTTATGCATAAACCATAAAATTAGTTCGATAACCGAACTAGAGTTGGGCAAGGCGGCGAATGTCGATCGGGTAGGCATCGGAGGGTCGTTGGGCGCTGTAAGCTCTTCTTCCGACGACGGTGTTTCCAGCCTCAGTTGGATGAAATGCATCCCAAAATAGATACTCCCTTCTATTGGGACAAGGGGTTTGGAAAGGCAAACATGTTATTTGCCCATTGTTCCTCCCAACTCCACAGCACCCAGCATTTGTAACCCTAAAACCTGCACCACCCGACATTCAAAACACAAACCCCATGTCAAAAATATCCTCATTATTAAGATGACTCTTTAAAAAGAAACACAAAAAAAGAAGAGAAATTTGGAAGAACTTATTACCAAAAGATGAAGGGCTGTTTATGATGTCTTGGAAAATCCCAAAAGAGTCAATGTAGATAAATCGTGCGTCAGGCTGGTTGGCATTGAGTTGGTCCACAAGGGCTCTAAGCCTGTTGTTGAACATTTGATTGGCAGAGTTGTACCTCTGTATACAAGTTCTCCCATCTGGGCTATTTGCCAATGCATTTGGGCTGCACCCAATTTGGCCCACTCCAAACAGCACAAACTTCCTTGCTCCATTGTTGTACATAATCTAAACCAATAAAAAATCCAATTCAAACATTCGAAATGCGACCAAAGTCTCACATGATCTCAGTGAGAAGTTTTCGTTAATTTGAAGTGGTTTAAAGAAACTGACCGATAATTGTTGAGTATATTGTTGGATGAGAACTTGAGCGTATTGATCCGGGGTGAATTGGCGGCTGGACGAGTAGATTTGGGGCATGAAATAGTTGTTAAGGTAATCGTTACTGCCTAATCCAACAGAATATATACACTTGCTAAGGTAATCAGCAGCTGCATTTTGATCCCCAAGAATGTTCACTATTTGTTGAACAGTGTTTTGGTGATTTCTTACTTGCCCACTGAAGCTAATCCGAGCTCCCTGAAAAACACACACACATATATATCAAACTCTTAAAAACTATTAATTGGGTAATGATTCGAATTTATTAATCTCACCAGTTGCTGGCCACTTTCCTCTCTGATTCCTGCCGCTGCAGAAGCATAGTTCACTCCTCTGAGTATGTCTCGGCCTCTGGTGTTGGAATAGGGAGGGATGTAGCTGCTGAACCCCAACAACTCCGCTGTCAACCGCAAACGTACAACACATATATATTAATTAAAAATTTCAATTTAGTCTTTTATGTTTTAACATTTTTCAGTTAAACATGCCGTTAATAAGGAGGGGAGTTAAGTAAAGGAGTGAAGTGAGATGACGATACCGATGACATCAACGGTAGTCTTTCCATTGGAGAACCTTCCAGTGGGGCCGCGGGGGAAGTCGATGCCGTAAGGGAGGTAATTCGCGCGGGCCAAAGAAGAAAGCCCATTGTTATTGCCATTGTCAACCAAAGAGTCGCCAAAAATGAAGTAGCAAGGGACTTGGGGCTGGGGTTGAGCGTCGCAGCGCCACAATGCAGTCATCAGAAGCGCCACAAGCAGACTCCATAGTTGCGCCATGGCCACACTACCACAAAGACAAAAATTAAACTCGAGTGTGAGTTGAAGTGGAAAGTAGTGATGGAAATTCAAAAAGGGAAAGAATTGTTTAAATAGAAGGGATCCAAGGATTGGCTTTTACAGTTGAGGAAACGAAGACAAAGTCTTTGGTATTAATTTCACGCGTATGCATGAGACTCCACAGTATGAACTATGAAGGCGGCTGATTTGGAAAGTTGACTACTCCAAATTTCTTCCTCCCTGTAATAATTTTTCTTTTTCAAAGTATTATTGTATGAATCTTACAGTCCAGGATTAAGGTGCGAGGAAACAAAAAGAGACTCGTCAAAAAACACGAACACAAACAAGAAAATTACTTAACCAATAATAGGAGGCTAGAACGAACGCTATCCGTCCATATAATAGCAAGAATATAAATATCACTTAACAAGATAAGACATAGAATAATAGAGATAGATGAAAAAAACTTTTATATATATTTTTTCTATTTAGATTCAAACCATCCTCCATAATTATTTTCACTAATTACGAAAAAAAGATGCAACTCGTCCAGTTGGGTTTTGGCAGAAATGTACATAAAAAAGCCTTAGTTTTGAAAATTGAAATTGAGTAAGATAGAGTCTGTCGGTAGCTGCATCTGGGAGGATCATTTAAAGCTATTCTTTGACAAATGAAAAAGATCCCCCGCACTGCATTTTCTTTTCCAAAAATAAATAAATAAATAAACAGAAAGAAAAACTTCGGCCATCTAGGTAGATAGATAAGGTAATCTAAGAGGTGGAAACAAATTTAAAGGTTAAATAAAAACTTTATAATATATTAATTTTTCACGTAACAATGTAATTAGTAATTAATAAAGAATCAATGTTCAAATTTCATGATGGCTATCTACCTTATGAATTAATTTCTTAGACATTTTTTGACGTAAAAATATTTTGTAAAGTTAGACTGCTGTCTTGCGAGATTAGTCAAGATTGCGTATAAATTCGATTGGATACTTAGATATAAAATAAGGATAATAAAGAATTGATGGAAATCTTAGTTGATAATAATTTGAACATTAAAGGAGTAAGATACATTGGATAAATGTCAAGATCAACGAAATAAAGTAAAAGGTTTCCACGTATCCAACGAAATAAATGAAGATAAAAGCAAAGTGGGTGACAAAATTAAATGTTTGGGGGATGAAGTCCACGCCCAGTAACAACTAACATGGCCTATCAATTTGCCAACCTTTGACAATCAAATCCTTTCCGATTTGACCGACGTGTCCACTCCCAAATTTCAATTTTTTTTTATTTTAATTCTGTGAAGAATATTTTACCTAAAAACCTCCTCTACTGATTGCTGCTCTTAATCTTTTTAATTAGTTTTTTCATAGAAATTTAACATAATTACGACCCAACATGAATATAATTTAACCAATTTGAAAACAAGAGATTTGATGAGATATGGAGTTGTATTCCATGGATTTTCAATTTAAAAAATTATCCACGTGTGTTTGATAATATATTTGTAAATTAGTGTAGCTACCTATTAAATATTTATTTCAAAGTAACATATATTTTATATAATTATTATTTTATAATATTATATAATTTATAATATTTTAATTTAAAAATAATAAATTGAGTGACAGCATGAAATAATTTATTTATCAAAGTATTTATATTTTTTCAATGTTCTCTACTTTAAAATTTCAATTTGAAATCCGAAAAACGTTTTTAGAATTTTCATTATTTGAATTATAGAATTAAAAAATAATTAAAATAACTTTGTCAATAGAATAAGAATAGAATCCAAATTTCATACCCAACTCACCCTTATACAAAATATGGGCAAATAATTGAAACTACATTTCATAAATTAGATGTTATATATTATTATTTATTCTTATCATTTGTGAGCTGGAACTTGGAATTCTGTCCCTTCACGGGTAAATGTAATATTTGAACAAAATTAAACCAAGTTTTGGTCCAAAGTTTAATTATGCTTACTAGACATAGAAATCAATATATTTAAATTTAATTATTTATATGTCCTTTGGAAGCTATCTTACTCCATTCTTTTTCAAAAATAGGGGGGAAAAAAAACTCTATCTCCATCTTTCTGATTTTGAATTTAATAAAGAAANATTTGCAATTAAGATGTGAGGCCAAAGAAATGATTGATTGGTTTTTCCAATTATAATAAAAGGGTATCATTTATTAGGCTTACCAACACAAATACAAATGTGGGTATGGTCTTATCTACCTTACTTTTTGAATCAATAATTGAATTAAAAAACAATCAATATTTAAGTATTTAGTTGTCAAAGCGAGAGCATAACTCAGTGGTAATTCATATATATTTTCCATCGAGAGGTTTCAAATTCGATCCCAACCCACGTATTGTACTAAAAAAACTTTAAATATTTAGTTTTTCTTTATCTACGTCTTCTCAGGAACCATTTTATTGATCCATGTCATCTATTTGATTTCTATTCATGATTAAATTATTAAGACATAATAAAAAGTTTTTTTAACAAAAATTTCATTAAATATATGTATATATAGATTTGCTATACAAAATTGTGTTATCAGGTAAAAAGAATATTTTTCAAATAATAGGAAACATTTTCCAGTGTTTTTACACCAATAGAAATTTTTTGAAAATGGTCAGACAAGTGCTTGAAGTCTTGAGAGACCACCTGCTTTGAAGTTTCAAGTTCGAACCATGATTAATGTTGCTCAATTTAAGTAATGAACTCCAATTGTAAGAATCAGCGACACGACATCGATTTTCCAAAACAAAGGTAAATAGAAAATAAAAAGGAACATTGAATAAAACTACATTAAATATAATATGGCTATGATAAATAAATAAAAGGGATTAGTAATATATGATCTATTTAGAAATCATAATTACTTAAAGATTGAAAATGATCCATCCATCTCAATATTAAATAATTATTAAAATCTAGAATTAGTAAATTGGGATGCCAAATCCGTTAAAATGTGTCAATGATACCTTCCAAAATTAAAAAAAAAAAAATCTCAAAACCCAAAAAACCATCTATTTTCGAAACTCACCCCTTTCTTCTTCCTTCGACCGTTAGTTCTTCTTTTTCGACTGTTCGTCGTTGTCTGCCTTCCTCTCCGGCCGATTCCATTTTTCTCTGTCGCAAGAGCATTTCGTTTGCGTTTACTCCCTTCGAAAGGAGATTTCCGTCGGTTATTCTTCCTCGATCGTTTATGCCTGCCTTTGTCTCCGGCCGACGTCTACCTACCTTCATCTCCGACTGCCTCTAATTTTCTCAGTCATCAGAGCAGTTCATCTCTCGATCGAAAGGTTTGCGTTCCAACGGTTGTTTTCAATTTCTGATTTCGTGTGAAATACTGTATATACGAGGATATATATTATAGTGATTTGATTAGGATATATCTTATAACTCAACTTGTATATATGCGGATATATACTATAGTGATGACGGAAATCTCAACCATGCAGGAATGACTGGTTAAAAAATTCTCCTAAAATTAGTTTTTATTAAACTAAAAATTGTGTCGAATTTATTATTAATTTTAAAATATTTCATTCAGTATCATTACATTACTGGGGTATATAACTATTTTCATTTTTGTTCATTCAATAATTTTCAGTCTTTTGAAGTTTCCATATTTGTTGAACTAAAAAAAATCTTGGTAAAATATTTTTGATGCATATTTGTCGAGATTCGTTTTTGGAGAAAAAAACTTGGTCCATATATAGGCAAGGGTTGGCTATAGTACTGAGGAAGCTTTTTCCATATAGGTATGGTGTGACTCACAACTGAGAATTCCCATAGGTAGCGCATGGGAAATGGATGGTCCTTTGTGAGCCAAAAAATTGGACTTTTGGTGTTGAGAGAGAGATGGGAAGTCCAAGTCCAAGCCCATATCTCTTTCATTTTCTAAGATCAACCCATCCCTAAGCCCTATACCCATTTGTCACCCACCATCCCCATTTTTGTAACAACAATACTCACAAAACTTTATAAACCAAAAATAACATCTAAAACAATATGGCCAAATATTTCTACTTTATGCTAAAACGTAAGGGTATGATTTATATGTGTGATATCCTTTACTGGAATTTGTTCGGTGAATGATGTTTTCAAAGTGAATTTGGAATGATTTCTCAGAGTAGTGTTTAAAAAAAAAAAAAAAAATCAAACTAGTTCTCATTATGTTCTAAAGCATTATGAAAAATTTAGAAACTTATTTTCATTAATTACATTCTCTATTTACCATTCCCTACGGATAATTGACTAAAGGTTTCATCCAGGGAAAAGAAAAGAAAAAGGAATCCAATTATAGAGAGTATATTAGATTTGGATCCAATCCATGAAAACTCATAGGGATGAAGATTCCATTTATAGCTCAAATCTCTCTATCGTTATTGGATTTGATTCCACACGTATCAATTAGAAGAAGTTCATAACGTTCAAACAATTCTAAACAAGTTAAGATATTATAATCATAAATAGTTGAGAAAATTTTCATATCTGACCCTTTGAAGATTTTTTTTTCTTCCTTCCAGCGCTGGAGACGAATCAGATCTTTTATTCACCCTGTGATGACCAGAAGAACTAAATGAATTCTTTTAATGAATTCTTTTGATTTGGTTAAATCCAGACAACTAGATAGTGGATGCAGCGAGTTGGAAGCTTTTTCAGGAACTCTTCTCTATAAATAAAAATTTGTAGATGAAATTATATATATATTACTTTTGAGAATAGATCACTTTGGTCGTTTGTATGTTGGTAACAGAAATCTCACGTTTGCAATTGAACTTGATCAATTTTGTGATAAAACAGATACTCAGGTATTTCTCTCAATATTGATATAGGAGGTTGGGGTGTCAATTTGGTAAGGTGGAGATAAAAAATTCTTTCCTACCCCCACAAATCTATAATATTTTTTTCGGCCAAAGCGAGCATAATTCAGCGATAACTCCAATCAAGAACCTTCTCCCCAATATGTTGTACTAAAAAAAATCTATAATACATTCCAATGAATTAACTATATATATGTATTTTAAAAAAAAAAAAAAAAAGTGGTGGAAATAACTCAACATTCGCAATGATATATGGAGAAGACCCATTTCAAAAATTAAAATGGAGAAAAAAATTTCTTCATCACTCTACCTTTGCTTGGGGCGGGTCCCCGCGGAGTCCCATCTCACGAGAAATTTTGACATTTCTAATGGGATGTGGTTCCATTGCGTACAATTTGTTCCTTCCCCACTAAAATAATGTTTTTAAGTAGGAAAATTTTTCCTTAAATAAAGAGCGCAACGCAATTAGTTGAAATTTAATAAAATGTTGCAAGCTTTAAGTAACTAACAAGTTTCCACGACTTTCGAGAGTATCACATTCTAAATCTTCTTTTTTTTAACAATAAAAATAAAATAAAAGCAGAGATAAGAAAAATAGGAATAATTTTATAATAAATATCAATAACAGATAATCGGTAACGTCGTGAGGGTGGGTTGGGATTGAGAGATGGCATGAAAATCACAACAAATATATTTGCAAAATGTCCCTATCGTCTCTCTCTCCCTCTACCGAAAAACAATATAAAAATCTCACTCTTCACTCTTCAATCTCTGCATTTTCCATTAACAATCAAATGGAGAAATATTCAACTTTCGTTTGCCTTCTCCTCCTCCTCCTCCTCCTCCTTTTTCAACAAGCCTCTCCTTCACCAAATAACGACCAGGTCCCATTTCCTTCTCTAATTAATAATTAATACTAACAACAACAATAATAATGCTGCAAAAAAAAGAAAAAAAAATGAAAAGAAAGTGATGATGATATTAACTTTATTTGATGTATTGTCAGGCGGCTTACATTGTGTACTTTGGGGAGCACCGTGGAGACAAGGCATGGCACGAAATAGAAGCAACCCACCATTCGTATTTGACCTCTGTGAAGGACACTGAAGAAGAAGCAAGATCGTCTCTTATTTACAGCTACAAACACAGCATCAATGGCTTTGCAGCAGTCCTCAGCTCAGAAGAAGCCTCTAAACTTTCAGGTAACTAGGAGTAGTGTAACAAAAATTTAAATGCCATGTTTCTGATATGTGTATTTTGTTTGACGGGTTGGTTTTTGGTGCAGAAATGGATTCGGTTGTGCGTGTGATTCGGAGTGAGAAGTACAGCACTCAAACCACAAGGTCGTGGGAGTTCTCAGGGGTGGAAGAGGATAAACCGAGGCTTAATGACTTGGTTTCCAGAGCTAAATTTGGGAAAGATGTTGTCATTGGGATGCTTGACAGTGGTAAAAAAATAAATAAAAACTTTCAACTTTTTTGTTGTCTTTTACTTCTTCACTGTTTCCCATGTGATTCCCTTTTTGCAGAATCTTTCTGATCTGTGTGTGTGTGGATTTTGTTTGTGTTGTGTAATATATTATTATTATTATATGTAAATGAACAAGTAGTTTGGTGATGGAAAATGGACATGGTGTAGCTAGCTTAGCATAGCAAGGATTTGGTTGCATGTGAAGAGATGATGCATTAATTTGTTTTGATGATATATTGTGATTCAGGTGTGTGGCCAAAATCCAAGAGCTTTAGTGATAAAGGGATGGGGCCCATTCCAAAATCATGGAGAGGAATCTGCCAAACAGGACCTGCCTTTCAATCTGCTCATTGTAATAGGTGCATTATTCTCATCCCTTTCTCTCTCTCCCTCTCTTGCTTTCTTTTGATAGGTTTGGTAACTGGAATTCAAAATGGGAGGAATAGCTCATAAATCTTATAAATTTTGTTAGGATGTACGTAGGATTTTTTCTTCTACGGATGATGACTAGGCTCCCCACCAAATTTCTTTTTGAGAGAAAATTCAATTTGAACTCTAATACCATGTCAATATTAATATGATTTTTTTAATATAGGATTCTTAATATGTCCCTATCAGTGATGGTTCTTTTCTGTTGTCAGGCTCTGAATATGGTCAACTCATAGGCATCTAATTTTTCTCACCTCCTCCCTTTGTTTTATCAAATTAAAGAAATTAATGACATAGACCTATTAATTTCTTTTTAAGCCATTAAAAAAGTCTTTTAAGTTTGGATGGATTGATTTGGTTGATTTTAGTGGGTAATTTTGTTGAGTTTAGAGTCCAAACACACAAATTTCTTAGGCAATAATTTAACTTGTGCTTGAATTCAACGTATCAGCAAAATTTTGAGCTTCACAAAGAACCAAACAGAATTTGGGGGAAACACCCACTTGGTTTTGTAAGTTAGCAATTGGAATTTTTGAGCAGTGGATTGGTTAGTGTTCTTGGCCAGCACCATATATAGCCCGTGGTGGCCTGCGTTGGATTGTCATGGCACCTTTTTACAACTTTGTGGCTTTGTGTGTTCTGCGAGACTTTGGCTTTTTCTGCCCTCAAAATCGAACAAATTTTCTTCCAATATCTTCTTGGCCATGCATCTTGTGGAATCTACATTATATTTGGGACACTTCCAACACCAGAACGAACCATCACTTTCTCGAATATTTCTACCATTATTCTATCTCTCTAGCTGATCTCCCATTGTGGTTTTGGTCTAATTTGCCATCAAAACCAATTACTGTTCCTCCCACTAACTTGTCCTTCCTACTTCATTGGAATTGACCACCACTTTTTTCCCCTCTTGGGATTGTTTATTAAGTAAAAACAAGAGCAAAGAGATGGGAAACTAATGATGGATGGTAAGAGAAATGTCCCCATATGGGTCCATAATTCTTCTTTTTTTTTTATTGCCCCTTTTCGTCGTTTTGCTTCTTTTTAAGATTCGATAAAATGTTCGAACTAAAGGTCTTCATGAATAAGGTTTTATTGAAACACTCTTTCACTCATTAAATTATGGTTGACTCTACAAAATAATAGAAAATTATGTTTATGCTTAAAAATAGGAACTTGCATATTTGATTAACATCTTACTCTATCAGATCAGATAGTGGTGTGGGATAAAGCCAATTTTATGACCCTCATCTTCATCTTTTGTCCTCTTATTTCTTATTCTAAAAGTATCCAAACAATTCAACAAGTCTCTATCACATTTATTAAATAAATTTGTTGCACGCCAACATGAGTATATAGTTAAATGGTGATTGGTGCCAACATAAGTATATGTATAGCATGTATAAAAGAGGAGGAACTCCCTCTCCATATTTTGCTCTTAATTTAAAAAATTCCATTATTAGTTTGACAAAATTCTCTCTCATCCTCTAAATTCTAATATCTCTCTCCAAAATTCCACTTTCTCTTTTTCTTATCACTTCCCTCAAATTCCTCTATCTTTTCTTATTTATTTTCTCTGCAATTATTCTTCAATTATTCACTTTCTCTCTGTTTCCCTCCAACTAATTAACTCTCTATTTCTCTCTCACTTTTTATCTTAATTCACACAAACTTTTTTCTCTTCAGATCAGTTAACACTGTAAATAAAATGTGAGGTGCCATGTTAATTAATTTATACTTAAAATATTTTCAATATTTTGTTTTTCTCTCTTTGTCCAATTAATATTAAAATCAAAGTAGTTTTTGATGAAAGTACAAAATTTGAAGATTTTCTTTTCTTTTTATGATATTAACCCTAGCTTTTAATATAATACAAAAATTATCCTTAAAATAAAGTTGACAGCGACAAAAATGTGAAAAGTTATAATATAAAAAGTTTGGTTGATTTATTCTAAAATTAAATTATAAAATTTTTTACTTGAACTTTACCTAGTAATAGAATTACAGATATTTTGGAATTTTTTAATAGTTTTACTATCTTCTTCAACTTAATTTTCTCTTTCTAAGTTTCAAACACATGTACCAATCAAGTATATTGGAGTTACTTTATAATTGAAAAATAAATATTTTATAATTAATTTTGTTACTATTATTGCTTTAAAAAATTTGTAGGATTTGTACTGAAAAAAAATTTGTAGGATTAGAATTCTTCAATTTAATACTTATAAAAAATTTAATTATTCAGTGTGAATTGATAAATTCATAATTAATTTTAATGCATGATCTTATAAATTGGAAATATACACGTGTTTAATTAAAATTGAAAAAAAAAAAGTGAAAGGCTTGAATCTTCACCAAACAATTATTTTTTAATGACTCAAAAAAGAAATTAAAAGGAAAAAAAAGGCTGTAGAACCGTTGGTTGAATTATTATTGTATTAATTTGTAATCGGAAAATTTCAGGAAGATAATTGGAGCACGATATTACCTGAAGGGATACGAGAATTACTTTGGGCGTTTAAATGAAACGGAGGACTACCGATCACCCTGCGACAAGGACGGCCACGGCTCACACACAGCCTCCACCGCCGGCGGCCGGAGGGTGTTCAACGTGTCGGCGTTCGGCGGCGTGGCGAGGGGCACGGCGTCGGGCGGCGCCCCGGGTGCCCGGCTGGCAATTTACAAAGTGTGCTGGGCAATTCCGAAGCAGATGAAAATTCTGGGCAACGTTTGCTTTGACACCGACGTGTTGGCCGCCATGGACGACGCCATCGCCGACGGCGTCGACGTTCTCAGCCTGTCGATCGGAAAGGCGGATCCGTACAATTACACCGACGACGGAATCGCCATCGGAGCCCTCCACGCCGTTAAAAAGGACATTGTGGTGTCTTGTAGCGCCGGGAACTACGGGCCCACGCCGTCCGCGTTGTCCAATTTCGCGCCGTGGATTATCACCGTCGGAGCCAGCACTGTGGACAGGGAATTTTACTCTCCCGTAATTCTGGGAAATGGATTCAAGATCAGGGTAAAAATTAAGTTAATTATTATTATTATTATTATTATTTATTTGAAGAAATAAAAGTTTAATTGAAAATTTTGGTTTGTTTATATTAGGGATTATCAGTGGCCCCATCGATGCTTAAGAGGAAGAAGATGTACCCATTAGTATATGCTGGAGATATAATGAAGCCGCATGTACCAAAAAACCAATCCGGGTATTTCTATTCTAAAATCAAATTAAATTTCAATTTTTTATATCTTAGTTTAGATCATTTACTAAAGATTAAAAAACTTAACGATCAGTTCCCTTGAACTTTAACTTGTAATGATTTATAAGTTCAAATTATAGTATGTAATAATTTAGTCAGCAGTTTTAAAATTTTTATACATTTAGATTGATAAATCGATGAAAAACCACAAATATTCAAAATTACAAAGATTGAATCATTATAAGATAGAATTCGATACTTAATTTTGACAAAAAAAATCAACAGTAGAGACTAAATTATTATACATTTTAAACTATAGGTACTAAATTATTATATAATAAAATTTAGGAACGAGATTGTTACCAATTTATAAATATAATGATTAAATTGTAGGGTTTGTAAGATGATTGCAAACAAGTCTCACACTAGATAGGGGAGGGAATGATCATGATATATAAGTAAGAAAGGACAAACAAAACCGTAAGACTATGCCTGAAACGGACAATATCATATTATTGTGGAGATATTTAAATATCAGGGATACCGTTGTAATTAACATAAATCATTATTTAGCAAAAATATAGATACCAAACGTTAATTAAAGTTTTGAAGGAAGATTTTTGTTGACGTTGTTGTTGTTGCAGAGTATGTGTTGCGGGGTCGCTTTCACACGAGAAAGCGAGAGGAAAAATAGTGCTGTGCTACAGAGCAGAAGGAATCAGCAGATACGCCGGCAGCCTCGAAGTGAAGAGGTCCGGTGGCGCCGGAATGATTCTCGGAAACGTCCCGGCGGTCGGACGTAAGCTGCACGCCGATCCCCATTTTGTTCCGGCCACTGCTGTGTCTTACGAAGATGCAAATATAATCCTCAAATATATCAAATCTCGAACCAATCCAACGGCGACTATTGTTCCCCCGATCACGATCTACGGCTCCAGGCCAGCGCCGGCCATGGCCAACTTCTCTAGCAGAGGTCCAAATCCCATCGACCCTCATATTCTCAAGGTATTTTTACTTTTTATTTTTACAAATATATTCAAAGTTATTGTTCATGAATCTCGATCGTTTAACCAATTTTTTGTCCCCTTTTCAACTTTCGTCATAATGTCTATTGAGATACTTTTAAAACGTCTAAAAAATTGGATTTTAAATGTCTTTTAATTCCTAAATTTTAAAAAGTATTTAGATTTAGTAGATATTTTTAAAATTTTAGGAACCGGGACACAAATTTGAAAATTTTAAAACTTATTAATACTTTAAAAGTTAATTCAGAGATAGACATAAAAAGATTATTTTTAGAAATTAACGAATTTATTAGAGACCTATTAGTTAGATTCAAAGTTGTTTAATGACCTAACTCTAAACGTGTACGAAATTTGGTACCTAAAGTTTCAAAGTCGTCCCTTTATATTCCGACTTTTAACTCTAAAGAGGTCTTAAACAAGTTTTGAAACTCAATTATAAAAGAATACTTGATTTCTTATTGGTGAGGAAGAGTCCTTATCCTCACCACTTTCAAACGTTCGACAACTATAGATAAATGCAAAAACAGTGAGTTATTAATTTTTCAACGGGGAAGACATCTCATCTTCACTAGGTTTAACCTTGAAAAAGTTTTAAGCAAGTCTTGAAACTCAATTTAACATGAAAAACCCTTTGGTTTCCTATTTTATCCTCCACCACAATTAAATTAAATGTTTGATAAAAATGCAAAAACAAAATTAAGTTGAGTGTGGTTATGGTGTTGATGGCAGCCGGACATAACAGCACCGGGAGTGGACATTCTAGCGGCATGGTCGGGAGAGGATTCCCCCACAAAACTGCCCAAATCCCTAGACCCTCGCGTCGTCCACTACAATCTCTACTCGGGCACCTCAATGTCGTGCCCCCACGTGGCCGCCGCCGCCGCCCTCCTCCGCGCCATCCACCCCACCTGGTCCCAAGCCGCCATCCGCTCCGCCCTCATGACCACCGCCACCACCACCAACAAATACGGCCGCCCCATCACCGACGACGCCTCCGACCACTCCGCCCCGGCCACCCCCTTCTCCTACGGCTCCGGCCACTTCCGCCCCTCCAAGGCCGCCGACCCGGGCCTCGTCTACGACGCCAACTACACCGACTACCTCGTCCACCTCTGCGCCCTCAAAATGGCGCACTCCATCGACCCCTCCTTCACGTGCCCGGCGCGTGCACGTGCACATGACCTGAACTACCCTTCCGTGGCCGTCCCCAGGCTGAGAGGCGGCGGCGGCGGCGGCGTGAGAGTTGTGAGGACGGTGAGGAACGTGGGGGGGAGTAAAAGCGCGTACTTCTTCAGGGCGTCGGCGCCGGCGGGAGTGAGCGTGAGGGCCTCTCCCAGCGTTCTGTACTTCTCGCGAATGGGGCAGAGGAAGAGATTCACGATCACAATAAGTGGGAAGGCGGAGATTGGTGGTGTTGATGGGAGCGGCTACTCATTTGGTTGGTTCGCTTGGACCGATGGAATCCACTTTGTAAGAAGCCCAATTGCTATCTCCTCCGCTTAGTTCTTTTTTTTTTCTCTCTCTCTCTCTCTTTAGTTATATATCTCTCTCTTTAATTATATACACCACACATTATATTATATATAGTATAAATAATAAATATATATTTGGTAAAACAACAGTAGATGCTGTGTCTGTGTGTGAGTCCTCTTTAGTTTTTGGTTTTCAGATATTAATTTAATAGCTGTGAAATTTAATAATATAATTTAACAAATTTTACACTTGAATGGGTCGTACAATTTAAATCATTCATTAAATTAGTAGTACATTTAATAGTCTCAATTAAGATTTGTATATCAATATTATTCTTATGGTTAGATAAAATTATTTTTGTGGGTATTCATTCTTTCAATTGTGTTGAATACTTTTAATTAATTAAATGCCGGTATTTTATTGATAAGCTTGAGATTTTTTATATGATTGGTCTTTTTTTTGGTTAGGTTCATGTGTATTTTCCTATTGTATTTATTTAAATTTGGAGTTTTGATGAATGAAAATCAAATGTTTAAAGTTAAAATAGAAAAAATAAGCTGATTAGTAAAAAAAAAAAACCAAATTAAAACCATATGAATATCGAGTTCTGAGTACAGGAATAGGTGCTCAAAGGAGGTTCAGAAAATTAAAACCAAATTGTTCATTTTGATCCAACATGGGATACAAAATCTATGACAATTAATCTAAGGTGTTATTTTCTTTCTTTTTTTAGAAAGTTACTTGGTGCTTTAGTTCTTTTATTTATAATTTATTGCTTTTTTTTCCTTTCCATTTTTCCTTTACATATGTGTCGAGATTATATAATTATAAATCAATTAAAATTAAAATTATGAAGCTTCTTTGCTTTTATTCCTAATAGACACAAAAATGGCAATACAACAATAAGTTGAATCTACATCAATATTTGGTGCAATAACACTACAAATATATGGCCTAACTATGTTTGGCCAAAAATATATAAAATACATGCTCTACCATTAATTAATGCAATTTATTAGAGCATGTGGTTTAGAAAATTATATGATAGAGATGAATGCACCACAAAACTAATTTAGGTATACACATCATCAACATAAATAAAATATATAGTATACACAAACAAGGGATAAGGCACTCTCACAATATTTGGTATCTTTCGCTTTGTATTCTTCATCATGTAAAGGCACTTGTTTGGTTCAAAACTAAATTCATATTGTATTTATTTACTAACACAATAAAAATAAATCCTTCTCATTTCAAAATTTATATGGAATTATATTTGCATCTCCTATTGATTGGCCAATACTATGAATTACATAGCTAGTTGAAGTATATGCATACTAAGTAGAAAAAAAAAGTTTTAAGTATCTTGTTCTTTGTATTTTTAATTATTTTTCATTTTAGTTAATGTATTTTCAAACGTTTGCTTTGATTCATGTTCTTTTGAAACATAACAATTTTAAGTCTCCATTTTTAAAAGTTTAATATAAATTTTATACTTAATGAAAATTTTTAATACAAAGCTAGTTATGAATACATTTCAAAATAATTTATGAAGTATTTTGTCGTATTGAAATTGTGATTCGAAAAATGAGATAAAATACATAATATGGAAAAAAACAGTTATTTTAAAAAATATAGAGACCAAAATAAATGTTTCGAATGTCTAGCAAACAAAATAGACAAAAATTAAAAGAATAGAAACCAAAATGTAAATTTTAAAATTACATGGACTATAATAATATCTGAACTTTAAAATTATTAACCACCCTAAAAAAAAAACTCTAACATTGACTAATTTAGTTCAAGTAGATAATTTCTTTTATATAATTTTCTTTTTGATAATTTTTAAAATTGTATTCCCATCAAACTGTTTTATGTCTTATAAAAATATAAAATGAAAAAAAAAATTTAGTTCAGTTTCCACAATTTTTCATTTCCAAATTAATCATTTTTCCTATTTTTCCCTATACTTTTTTTTAATACAACAACATGTGAGAAGGTAGATTCAAATTCATTAACAGATAGAAG